ACAATGGTATCACTCCTATGTATATATCATCTTCTGATTCTTAGAGCTGGGTTAATGGTTTCCTATAGTGAAGTGTTGCTATTAGGACTTGAAAGCTTTTTGTTTCATCCAGTGTGAGCCCTTGAGAATACCATCATTGCCAAGTGCCTACCTCTGCGGTACCAGAAAAAATGTCTTGGGTGTACAGAAATTTCTACAGTCACATTTGCCACACGAAATTAAAATATATACAAATTCAGATAAATAAATAGATAAATTGTGTTGCTCTTCATTAATTTATATCTTTCTTAATTTCACCAAAATTTCAAAATACATTTTGAAATTATTTCTAGAGCCCTCTCCTAGAAATAAAAGGCCCCCATGGTTGTTTTTCTTCCACAGTGGAGCAAGCTTGAGGGGAGGATTTGGTTAAGAAGAGAGCGTTAGAATCTTGCTGTGTTCCATTGTGGAGTAAACAACCAGGTCTTTCATTTAAAGTGGATCAAACCATGGACACATTATTCCTTATTGTTTAGCTGCCAGGGTTTAGGGTGAAATTACCAGCTGCCCAGGGGCCCAGCATTTTGGCTTGGGATCTAGCTGTGCCTGTAACACAGGGCACAATGCTTACTGGCATTGTCAGCCATTTAACATAAAAAGAACATGCTGTAATCAAGTGGGGACTGTTCCACTGTGTCACTCTTGGGAACCATTTCAGGAAACCTAGGAAACCCGCTATTGAGTTTCAAAGGGAGAAGAAAAGAAAACACAGAAAATGCTCCAAGGGGGCAATTTTTCTCTGTTCATTTTTTTTTTCCCTAAAAAAAAAACTTTTTAGTTTCTTTCTTAACATGTCCCTATTTGGGGAAAGTTGTACCGATTGCTTTAAATATATATTGCTATCAGATTTTTAGGTTTTTTTGTAAATCCATGTATCAGAATCTAAGGAAAGTCAGAAGCCCCCAAAATGCAATATTTAAGACATCTTGGTTGCAACAACCCTTGAGAATGGGATCTGGTTCTTAGCAAGAATAATGTCACCTGCCACCTAAATAAATGCTAAGGTTTAGAGTGCAGAAATAATAAAGCCAGAGAGATGAAGTAGATTCTAGATATATTAAATCTGGGATAGCTTCAAATAACAGCCTTAAGCAATAAAGTGAAACTTCCATCCTGTATTCATAATGTCAGTGCTACTGTGAAAATGCTAGCTTTAAAATACAAGCACCCAAGGTTGTCTTCTCAAAAGACTCTCTTCAGACATTATTTTAAGTCCCTTTGAACATGGAAGCATAATGTCACCAACTGAGGACCCTTGAGTTCTGATGCATTGAATTCCTGCCAACAGTCTAGTGCTAGAGATGTTTCCTTTGAATTATTTGGAACTGAAGGCATTTCCATATGGATAAGTATTCATTTTAAGAAGAGAGAATTATGGTGGAATATGTAGGCCTAGACTGGAAGAAGACTTGAATAGCTGTGCCATTTTAGAAACTGTGGGACAGAAGACTGGCAGAGGTGGGATAGGATGAGGAAGACAGTGCAACATATATACAACCAAAAACTGCCATGTCCAAGTGCAAAATCCACTACAGGCTTGAGGTGAGATTAAAAAATAAATAACCCTTGGATGTGCTTCTCTTTGCTCCTCTAAAGAAGTAGCAATTCTATTTGATGTATTTGAAAGATAATACCAAATGTGGAATCAGAAGTTCTGGGTGGAGTCTTGGCTCTCTTAACTAGCTGGGAACTAACTGGGTAAACTTATATAATTCAGTTAACCTCAATGAGTCTCAGTTTGCTTACATGTATATTAGAGCTAGTAAGGTATTGTCTAGGCCGGGCGCGGTGGCTCACGTCTGTTATCCTAGCACTCTGGGAGGCCGAGGCGGGCGGATTGCTCAAGGTCAGGAGTTTGAAACCAGCCTGAGCAAGAGCAAGACACCGTCTCTACTATAAATAGAAACAAATTAATTGACCAACTAAAAATATATAGAAAAAATTAGCCGGGCAGGGTGGTGCATGCCTGTAGTCCCAGTTACTGGGGAGGCTGAGGCAAGAGGACCGCTTGAGCCCAGGAGTCTGAGGTTGCTGTGAGCTAGGCTGATGCCACGGCACTCACTCTAGCCTGGGCAACAAAGCGAGACTCTGTCTCAAAAAAATAAAAAATTTAAAAAAAGGTATTTTCTAATTCATATGATTCTTATGATAATCAAAATCAAAACAGAATAACTCATGTGAAAATGTATTGCAAACTGTTAAGAAGTATGCAAATGTAATATGCTATAATTAGGAAGTTAAAATGTAGCGGCAGAATAAACAGGTACTTGAATGTCAGGTTCATGATGGCAAGGGCACTATTTTATTCATTGATATATCCTCAGTGCCTAGAATGCTGTCAGGCACATGGTAAGTGCTCAATAAGTAACACAGATGAAGAAACAAATGATCATCTGACTTTTTTCTGAAAGACCTAGAAACATTCTCCGCTTATTTTTGGAACTCTTATCTGAAAACACCATGCCTATATCACCAATACAAAACCATTTGAAGCCCTGATTTCCTCATTAAAATGGGAATGTTATCTTACTTTTCATCTCTAAAGGAGAAAATATTAATATATTGTTTTATTTGATCTACTGCAATAACTAAATGTTGCAAAACCCTGTGCGTGTGTGTATATGTGTGTGCGTGCGTGCGCGTTCATACACATATCAAGCTAGGTCAACAGAAATGTTAATAGAAATTCAAAATTTGGATATTTTGTGCCAATACCTTTGTTTATGAAGGTTAGCTCACTAACAGAGTAGACAATTGCCAATGGCCTTGTTATTGGTGAGAGGAACTGGGAAAATAGTTGGCCTATCCACACACATATGTCCACCCACCCCCACCCCCAGTTCTGGTCTTTGTTCCAAAATGTGACCTTACAATAACGATTAAAAACAAATTTCAGTTTTAGGACTGGAAATGTCAAGCCATTCCATCATCTTTGGGTTGTTTTTTCTCATTTCATACTGTCTCTCGGAAATAAAAATTCATTGCTATAGAAGTAGCTGTTTCTTTATAACAACAACTGAGTTTGTAGAGTAGTTATCCAGCAACAAAATATAAGAGACAGCATTGCATAAAAAATGTTGATAATTTTGATTAGGACTGGACAGAATCAGACCTTTCTGCTAGCAACAGAGAAAAGGGTTTCTAAATAATTCATGGTATAAATCAGTGTGCTAGAAAGATATATAAAATACTTTAAAGAAACAATTGTTTTCAAGGGCCCTTTGGCACTTGAGAAGTACTATTTATAAACAATTAATTGACATGCTACTTATAAATCATCTTTATGTGGGTGTGAAAAACAGGTGCCTAAAGACCTCTGCTAGAAAACAATTTGCCATTCTACTTTCATCTACTGTATGTAAATGAAAGATATAAAACTGCCTTAGAAGTATTTTTAAATGCAGGGTTTTTTCTTTGTTTTCTGCATACTCAAACAGTAATGTCTCCTCTGTCCCCCAACAAACACACACCAACACATCCATACACATCCACTCTGAAATAGTGAGATTTTTATCATATTCTTTTGCCATTCAGAGAAGAAAATTCTACTGTCAATTGACTTTCTTTGTCCTGTAAGAATGAGAGCAAGGATGCCCACTGCCTGAATCGGCACCTGCTCCATCTCCTCCTTATGCCATCTCCCCAATGCCGGGCCCTGCAAGAGGCTCCTCCCACGGGGCTCATATCCTTGCCTCATATCCTTGCCAGAATAATTCTTAACCGTCTCTCACCCAGGTTTTGGCAAACAGCAGAGATCACTGAGGCCAGTTTTCTTTGGGGAATGGTCTGAATTACCATTGAATTATTGTCCACTGAATTATTGTCCACTTGAGCAATGGTCCTGGCAAAATGTCTAATTGATTGAACTGCCTGGTGTTTATTATTCTAATAGTCCTGAAGAAAGTCCGGATGATTCTCCATTAACCCACGATGAAACTCTAGGGGAGCATTTCCGCAGCACTTCAGCGCTTGTTAACCTAAAAGTAATGGGCATATACATTTGGAGGGCCTTATTTGTTCTGCCAGCACTAAGGGGAAGAAAAGAATGGCCATATTTACTCTCTTTAAACATTCTACTCAAAGAAAACATGCTGAAAGGATGCTAACTACCCAGGGTCCTGAGAGAGAGATCTTGCAAAGACAGCACAGCACACACGTGAGCCATTATGCCACTCTTGTTTGATCACAAATGGCCACCTATGACTGCTCCAGCATGTGTACCTCTATGTGCAGTGGCAGATGAAACAACAAACGCATCCAGTCATGAAAATGATAGGCTGGCTCGTTTTTAGAATGAATCTCCACACTCTACCTTCAGCCAGTTCATACCGACAACACGGCGCAAACTGGGAATTGGAGGGTAGGGGGTAGGCATTATAAAAGTGGGCATGAGAGTGTGAAGTCGATGCAGAAGGGCAGTCTAAAAGTTTGGTGGCACAGGCGGGTAACAAAACAGTATTAGCAAGAGAAGCAGCAAAGAGAGCCCTGGAGAGGACAGCCACAAAACTGAAGGGAGAGAGCTAGGAGAATTGTAAACAGTGGAAGGAAGGAAGGAATTAGAAACAATTTGCCACGATTTTTTTCCAGATTTCTCTGCCGAAAAGTTTGGGAGGGGGAAGCGGGGGCGGGAAGAATTGCAGTTGCATTTTTATTTGGTGCACAGCTGGTGTGTGGCTCTCACCTAAAAGTGCTTTAAATGGCTGTGACTTTCCATGACACATTCCTTCTTTGCGGAGTCTTCCCTGAGCTAATTATCTCCCTGAGCTAACGCAGTAACAGATGGATGGACACCCTGCGGGGAGAGTGACACAGCCACTGATATGACGAACAGGTGTCAAGGTTGGTCTCACTCTCCAGAAGTAACCGTGAGTGGACTGGGGTAGGCGTGGGCATCTCACGTGAGGAAACTCACCTGCTGTAGCAGATACTTACCTTTCGCTTTAAATCTTGGCCTCACCTACCTCTGGGCCTTTCGGCCATGTTTCCCGGAACCGGACACCCATCGCGATGAACAACTTTACGTGGACTCTAAACAATACCGTGTGGGCACGTACCCAAAGCACCTGGCTGCGTATACCTGTCCAGAGTCCTCACCGCCAGCCTGCAGGCCGCCCTGTTGGTGCTGAGGCATGAAGACGGCACAAGCCTGCTAGGCATGCGTGCGCATGCGCACGTGCGCCCACGCATGCGCATGTGGACCCACGCATGCGCACGTGCACCTACGCATGCGCAATCAGGGAGTGTGCCGGAATTGCCCTCCCATGGGGCCAACGAATGGGAAACAGGATCCAGCTTATCAGTCTGTCCCCCATTCTCCTTTAATGGTTTGTTGAATGACTTAAATACTTGGAGGACAGGTATAGGTGGTAGGAGTCCTAGGAACAAAAGCTGTATTTATTGGGGAAAAAAAAATGAAATTTAAGGTAGTAGCATGGACTGGGTTATTGTAGCTGAACACTGTAAGCGATTTGAAAATGATCTGAATAAAGGAATTCAGGAAATTTCACCCCAAAATATGCCTCCTTAGTATAGAGAGTATTTTGAAGTATTAAAGACCCTTAAAAATCAACAGGACTTGGAAAGGGATTTCCCTCTTTCTTCATGAAAACCAGATGGGACCATCAAGAACAATTACCTTTTCTTCCCCTCTGAGTTATCTCAACATACTGCAGGAAAGAAGATCAAGAGTACAACCAAACCTGGCTCAACCCATTTTAAAGATAATATCCGTCTTTCAAGTTAATTTGATTTCCAAACAGAATCATTTACAAACCAATCTGTTTCCCTCATTCATTCATTCATTCTCCCAAATATCTATTTATCCTCCCTAGTAACCATTCATTGCAACTCAACAGAATTACCTATAGTTTTTCGTCTCCTTCTCCCCTCTAAAATGAGGGTTATGTACTTCTGGACCCCATTGAGCAATTGGGTAACCACTCTGTGATTCTCCCCATATGCACAGTAAATAAGTTTGTAATCTCTTAATCTGCCTTACAGTGTGTTGATGTTCCAGCGAAACTTTCAGGGGCAAAAGGGAAGTTTTCCTTTTCCCCAACATGTGTATTCCTACCATGAAATACAACATTTTAGAAACACTTATTAGTATAACCTCGCAGAAGATACTCCCAAGAGACCCACAATAAATTTCATGTGATACCAAGTGGTGGCCAACTGGTTAACATATTCTCCTATTGACCCCCCTCCATTCTCTGCCTTGGTTTCTTTTTTATTCATTCTTGCTCCTTACAATTTTACTCCCTAATAAATTAGTAGCATGTAAGATTTTGCCTCAAGCCCTGATATTTTGCAGCTTAGACTGTCACAGGGACATGTGCATTTATAGCAGCAACCTTGGTCTGCCAGAAAATGGCTAAGAAATCATCTTGCTATGTTCAATGTTGATATATTTGGTGTACAGTCATGGTTGGTAGGAAATACTAGGGGTGAAGCTGTATTTACTGAAAACAGCCACCACCACCACCAACAAAGAAATTTGGGGTAGTAGCATAGACTGAGTTATTGTAGCAGAACACTGCAGGGGATTTTCATTTCTGTGAAAAAAGCTGGGGGCCACTGCATCTACATCATTGATTTATCTGTTTGTCTGTTTGTTTATTATAAAGTTACTAGCTATTAATTTAACAGTTTCTTCCTTATTCACATCACTGAGATTTTTCTTACCCAGGACAGATACCTGGGATATAATTTCCAGGAAGAAACATAAGTGAATCACTAATTCTCACAGATATTATGAAAACATTTTCCTAAATCTATGTCAATTCATAATCCTTCTCAGAACTTATGAGTACCAATCCTCTACAACCTTAATAACTTTAGACATAATAATATTTTTTTTAGTTTAGTCCAATTGGTAGCAAACTATTCCATGATTATATATTTTCTCTCTCTGATATTAGGTTGTACTTACATTTGCATGGTGTCCCACAATATCCCAGTGTGTTCTGCTCCCTGTGATTTTTTTGTCACTTTTTTTTAATATACAAGTTTTCTTTGACAGGCATTTCAGAATTAGGTGATTCAGTGAACTTCTACCAAAGTAATCCGACTTCTTCCTTTGTTGGATCTTGAGAGTTCTTGTGTCTTAGTGGAAGTAGCAGTTTGATGTCAGTGATTATGGAAGACACATAAGAAAGAAACAATAGATCTGGCTTGCTCAGAAATTTTTACAAGATATCAGGGAAATCAACTTCCTATATTTTGGTCAGTGCAGCACTTGAACCTGAGATTCCAGGAGAAATTAAAAGAAGAATAAAATTACCATATTATTTTCATGGCAATATATACTGTTCTAGTTCAGAAGTAGGATCAAGTGTTGCAATTGATAGAAATATCTCTGGAATTCGCTATAAGAATTCTCCTATTGCTAGTTTACAATTTGGTTTAATTTCATTTCTGAATATTCTTTGAGTATATTAATGGGATATTTGGAGGTTGAACATCAGATAAAGTGAGTTGGCTGTTTATTAGTTAAAAATTCTAACTCAGCTGTTTTTCTCAATATATCCCAGAAATTTTGTAATGATATACAACTACAAAGTGAGGCTTTCAAAATAATGTACTAAAGATCCCAAAACAAAAAGGAGGAAAGTTAAAACTTGAGTTAATTTTAAATTTTAAAAAATTTTTTCAGCTCTATAGAAGAATAATGGACAAATAAAATTATATATAATTATGGTGTATTTTATGATGTTTTGATATATGTACACATTGTAAAATGTTACCACAATCATACTAACTGGCATATCTATCACTTTACATTGTTATCTTTTTTTTAGTTAGTGGTGAAAACACTTAAGATCTAATTCTTAGCAAACTTCAAGTACATACTACTGTATTATTAACTATACTCACCATACACTACATGAGATCTCCAGAACTTTTATTAATCATATAAAGCTTAAAATGTGTACCCTTTGACTAACATCTATCTCCCCATTTCCCACAACCTCTAAGCCTTAGCAACCACCACTCTACTCTCTGCTTCTATGAGTTAGGTTTTTTCAGATTCCACAGGTAGGTGAGATCATTGAGTACTCACCTTTCTGTGTTTAGCTTATTTCACTAGCATAATTTTCTCCTTTTTCATCCATGTTGTTACAAATGACAGATTGAGCCTTAAGCCTGGGGCTGCAGGGACTGGCCTGGAGCTGGGGCTGTAGGGGCCAGCCTGGTATATCCAGGATCCCTGGGGTAGTCCAGGTACTGGGGTCCATTACAAAATTGCTCACTACTCCATTTCCTCCATGTAGAGGGCACCTTTTTCTGCACTCTGCCACCTGGGCTTGAGGGAGGGGTAATGCAGGTAATGTAAAGTACCCTTCTTGCCCTCTTAGATGTGTCTTTTCTTGTTTCTGTGTTCCACGTAGGTGCTATAATCTCTCACCTAAATTTTTAGCTCTTGTAAATATATTTTGGAGTATGGATAGTTGTTCAAATGGATGTTTCTGTGAGGGATGTGCACTGGAATGTACTATTTGGTCATGTTGCCAATGTCACTCCTAGAGCTGTGATTTTTAAATTATGAACTTGGTTTTCATTAAATGATGGTATTTCTTTGAAAATATCACAGTAGTGGAGCTGTTTAAAATATCCTTAAATTTTCAAACAACCTTTAAAATGGTTTGGTTTTAATAAAGATAACATCAATAGAAAGAGCAAAGCAAGTCTTTCTGGGGCTTAGGTGGTCGCATATGCTTGAAGTTGTTTCTGGTTCAAACTACTATTTGATCCAGCAATTCCACTACTGGGCATCCACCCAAAAGATCAAATAACACTCTACAAGGGGACACCTGCACTTGAATGTTTATAGCACAATTCACAATTGTAAAGTTGTGGAAACAACCCAAGTGCCCATAAATACATGAACGGATTAATAAAATGTGGTATATGTATGCCATGGAGTACTATTCAACTCTGAGAAACAATGGTGACATAGCACCTCTTGTATTTTCCTGGATAGAGCTGGAACCCATTCTACCAAGTGAAGTATCTCAAGAATGAAAAAACAAGCACCACATGTACTCACCAGCAAATTGGTCTTAACGGATCAACACCTAAGTGGACATATAGGAATAACACTTATCAGGTGTCGGGCAGGTGGGAGGGAAGGAGGAGAGGATGGGTATATATAAATATACTGAGTGACCTGTGCAACATTTGGGGGGATGGTCACGCTCGAAGCTCTGACTCCAGGGTGGAGGAGGGGCATGGGCAATATACGTAACCTTGTACCCCCATAATATACGGAAATAAAAAGAAGAAGAAAATCTATTTTTAAATAAAAAAATTCTCAGAAATTTTTGATTCCCTAGGCAGAGTCTGCAAAGAGAAATTAACCAAGCATGAAATGTTCCCCCTTACTGGCCCACTGGGCTAACAAATGAGGTGAATGTAAAATGCCACCTTGCAAATTGCCACTGTTCTATTTGCACAGGCATTTATATTGGATAGGCAGGCAAAGACATCTAGAGGGCCTTTGTTTTACAGTCTGGAAATGAAGAAAGACCATTTCCTGCTGTTCTTAGGGGTTAAGTATCACCTTAACATCCTGTTTAAAGAGCCCCAGTGGACTCCTGGAAGCCAGAGGTGGTGTCCCTATTGTGCCTTTTTACTCGGTGTTTGAGAAATAGGGAGCACTCCAGCAATACTAAACTGAACCAGGTGATCTGAAGTCCATACACATCATGATTTTCTCACATAATATAATCCTTTATTACCTGTTATTATTTCCCCAAGAAAATATATTCCTGTGAAAGGGGCAAAGAGTCAGGATTTCATTCTCATCTGTGTCATAGATTCAGTTGACCCTATATAAATAATAAAGCCTCTGAGCTTTGTTTTTTTATTTGTTAAATAGGAAAAATGCCCTCTGCATGTATAGCAGCATTGTTGTACATAAAATGAAATTTGGACATTAAATTCCCTTGAAAATGATCACTGCATGACACTTATATAAATAATTGCATTTCAGTATTAAAATTGCATACTTTCTGTGGTCTGATCAGACGTATTCTACAATGTGTGCTCCAAATAGTCAAATGTATAAAATTAATGGACATTTGTTCATTGAGTGCCAAGAATACTGATTAGTATCCAATAAAGATGAAAGTAAATATCAAGTAAGGCAGTTAGTTATGAGTTAGTTAAATAATGAAGGGGATAGCTGTGTAAATGACTCTTCTAATTATAGAACATAAACACCAAGGAACCATTAGACCCTTGCACCCATATGGAAAAGAAAAATATTTCTTCTTT